GACCCCGACGGGGTTTGCCGCTGCGCTCTGGGTCGCAAGGTGCCCCAGCGGCCATTGACGCAGGGAGCCTCGTCCGTGCTCCTGACGGGAGACTGAGAGCGATATTCCCGCGTTTCGGGGACCAGGGCGGGCGGCGTGGCGCTGATGGGAGAAGGACGAGAGTTCAGGCTGGGACTCAGCGGGGCTCTCCCGCTGGGAGCTTGGCTGAAGACCACAACACACTGTCCCACCTGGAAGAGGAGGAGAGAAGAGGTGAGGAACGGCAGGATGACCCTCGGCACCACGTGGGGAAAAATCAGGGAGGTGTGGAGCATTCTGGGAAGGCGGCAGCCATCAGTGGATGGGTATGAGGGAGCAGAGACCCCACCATGTCCGTACCCTGCAGGCGGGATGGCACCACAGCTCCGGGGCTCCGTGGTCTTCGTTCTCCACCTTGAGCGGCTGCCACGTCCAGGGGTTCGCGTGCATGTGCAGCAGCCAGGCGTCTTTGAACAGCTGGGGAGAAAAGCGTGATGGATTTAGGAGCCCGGTTCGGGATTGAGGAGCCCCAGTTTGCTGCCAAGATCATTTCCCATCAGAGGTAGGAGCAGCGCTTGGCTGCTGCAGACAGAGGAAGGGTGACCCAGATGAGGATCTGACCGTCCCGGCGTGACTACACCCTACTGTGGCCATGGATAAATCCCTTCATCTCCAGTATGAAATCAGGGCTAATTCTTCCGAGACTCAATTAACCTCGGCGAGCAGCTCAGATAGCGCCCAGGGTGCTTTTCTCTTAATTAAAGCAGCTCTAGCAACAGCTAGACAGCTTCTCTGGAAAATCTACCGCGTGGGTGCTCAGATTTGCAGGATAAGATGCCAGCCAGGTAACGTGCCGAGCCCTCGCCCTCCCCAGCGTGGCACCCCGGGCTCACGGTTACAACGAGACGCGCGCAGCGCGTGCCCACGCTCCCCCGGGATACTTACTGCATTGGGACCTCCGCAGCCCCCGAGGATCAAAATGGTTTCGCTGTCTATTACGATCTGGAGGGGACAAAGAGCAGCGTTTCAGACCGGGAAGGATGCGAAGCCGTGCCCGGAGATTTTGGGAAGGCCTCTGAGTGCAGGCAGAGCCAGGTTACGGCTTCTCGGCTGCACAGACACTGCCGAATTTTGTCTGCCCTGGGATGGGGAGCGGAGCCGGGATGGAGAGCCGGTTTTGCTGGGTTTGAGGCAAAGCGGGATGCAGGGTTCACCCCGCTGCCTCGTCCCAAACAGCTCGCAAACCAGTTCTTCTTACAGAGGAGAGCAATTACCCTTCCTGAAGCTGTGCCAAAGCAAGAGACGCAACACCCCTCCTCAGCTAAAGGAGAAGGACTGTCTGGGAGGGCACGTGCCTGCAGCGGTGTTTGTCAGGGGCTGGTGGTGGGCAAGCTAGTCCCTAACCCTGAATGTCTTCAAGGCCAGGCTGGATGAGGCTTGGAGCAACCTCGTCTAGTGCAAGGTGTCCCTGCCCATGGCAGGGGGATTGGAACTAGATGATCTTTAAGGTCCCTTCCGACCCAAACCATTCTGGGATTGTATGATTCTTAATCTCCTTTTCCAGTGGATGGAGAGAAAGGCACCTTCAAGCACGACCCATCTGATCTCTCCCGGGTGCCCCGCTCAGCTGAGATGAACCACACGCTGGGAACCACTGACCACCCTCCCGGAGACTGTAAAGGGAACGCAGGGGTGCCAGCTGTGGCAGAGACACCTGCATCAAGCCCGGTGACTCCCACGAGCTCCCTGCCCCGGGCAGGCAAGAAAACAGGCGCTGCCAGACCCATGCTTTGAGCGGGTACAATCCAGAGCGGAGAGCGGAGCGATAAAAAGGGCCCCGAGCCAAACCAACCTGTGATAACACTTGATTGATCTTAAACGCCGGGGGTGAAAACAGCAATTTGTTTGCTAGAAACGCTCATTAGAGCTCTGAGTCATGTGTGAGACACGGCCTGGTACCTGCCCGCGCGTTAGGGAGATGAAAAGCGAGCCCTCACAGAACGGATGGATAGGGAAAACATGGGCCCGTCGGGCTAAGGCTGCAAAGATAAGCTGGAAATCGGGCGCTGGCTTTCAGGCGACCTGCTGAGAGGTACCTGGAAGCTGGGAATTAAGCCATGTCTGGTTTATCTCGGGCAGCGTGTCGGTGCCGGGGAGCTGCGGTGGTGGAGGGGAGCTCACCTGAGACTGCCCACCGCGTGGGTGAGGGCTGGGCCCAGAGATGTTGGGCTTGGACCAAGCCCACTGCTCGAGGTCCAGCACCCAGACGTCGTTGCTCCTGCAAGGACGAGACAACAACCGTTGATACAACCGGGCCCTGTGGGCATCGGGAACGCAGGTTCAGGGCAGAGTTTTGTGGCAGGACTGGGGTTCCCACGGGCTGGAGCCTCGAGGGGGTTTGCTGCAAGATGCGAAAGGTGTGCTAAGGCCGGGCAAAGGCTCCTAAATCTCACGGATATTTCCTTCTATAAGCTACCCTCAGGAGCACCACAACAGCTCCTCACTTGCAGGAGCGTTTGTCAGACACCCTCACCCCAAACTCACATTTGCCGAGATCCTAGCGAACCCCCGAAGACGATCATTTTGTCTTCAATGACACAGGAGGAGTGCCCAGCCATGGGAGGGGGGCCGTGGGTGGTGACGATGCAGTTCCACCTGCGGCAAGAGGAAGGCGTTCAGCATCATCATGGATGCCCCATCCCTGGAAGTGTCCAAGGCCAGGCTGGATGAGACTTGGAGCAACCTGGTCTAGTGGAAGGTGTCCCTGCCCATGGCATGGGGGTTGGAACTGGATGATCTTTAAGGTCCCTTCCAACCCAAACCATCCTGTGATTCTATGATTCTATCAGCTTGGAAAGGAAAGCGCCGGATGAACAGCAAAAAGAAAAATCCCAGCGGCCGGCAAAGTCCTCAAGAACACGTTACAGAGGAAAACCTCAGGGAAAACCTCCAAAGATCCAAATATTAACGAAACTCATTAGAAATACCAATGTGCTCAACATTTTTAAAGCATGACAAAATCACAAGGCCAAGTTAGAAATATTGCCCCTTTCAATTAAGTTCGCCCTGAATTAGTTCCGAGGCGGTTTAATTAGAGCGTTGTAATGACACTGCCCAAAAAGCGCAGCGGGTAATTGAGACTTGTGATGATGAAAAGTTCTCAATGAAAGAGGAGCAGGAGCCATCGCCGCTTTGATACAGCGTTCGCTGCTTTCTCACACACATCAGCGAGAAAGCCTGGTCTGAAACCAGCCGAACGGAGTTTTACAGGGCAAAGGCAAATTCCTGCCAGCCCTGCGGTCACTGTTGAGGGCTTTGTTGATTGTCCAGGGAAGAGCTGACTAAAATGGGATACCTGCCCTATCACGGCTCCCTTGGAGGGCCACAGGAACTCTGAGTTTTGGACCGTGACCAAGCAAGACCTCCAGGAGTTAAGCCTTTATCTCCTCCTTTCCTCAAAGGCCTGTTTCACAGCCAAATCGATTACATGTTTAAAACATTCCCAGCCAGATTTCCCACCTGGCTGGACGGGAACACTTGGGGAGTCTGGAGTATTTCAGGGACAAGCTGAGAGGTGCAGGGAAGCAGCCACTGCCCAAGAGGTGCCAGGCAGCAGCGTGCCCACGTCCCCAGCACGCTCTTACCGTTTTTTGTTTCAGTAAGAGCATCAGTCACCCCAGGATTCCACACACCGAGTTTCTCTAAGAGCCAGTTCCAGGCTCGGAGAGACACCCTCCGGCATTTCTGCAGCTGCATTACAGAGGCATTTTTACAGGATCAAAGCCTGGCCTTCGAATCCAGATGTGCTCTTACCAGTTTTTGGAGGGGGAGTACGTATGGATTTCATCAAAGAACCTCTCTGGCTGGTGCAGAGGGTACGGGCTCGGCCGCGTCCACCCCCCGAACAGCACCAGCAAGTCCTTGTAGACCACCAGCGTGGCCCCGGCCTTGGGTGAGGGGTATGAACCTGGGCAGGGAGAGAGAAGGAGAAGGTTAGGAAACCACGCTCCAGCACAGGCACCGAAATCCGCATCAGTCGAACCGAAGCGCGACAACATGGAGTCTCCACCTTTAAAATAACATCAAAAAAAAAAAAAAGGCAGAAAAGGAGGCAAAACTAGAGTGGGGAGCCTGGGAAGAAAGCTACTGCCAATTTGTGTCATCGTAATTAGTAGGAGCCTGAAAGCACATCTCGTGTGTGGCAAAACATCTGTCACTCACTGGCAGGAAATTGCTAGCTTTCGAATGTATCCCTTGAAATTATTGCTTTAGCACCGAATAAAAGCAATAATTACCTCCAAAAACCCAGTAACTTCTTCCCAAGGAAGGAGGGAGAATGAATGCCAATTCCAACGCATCCGGTGTCGCCTGCGGCAGATCGCCGGGGTACTCGCGCAGCAGCGCGCGCCGGACCCTGTTTTTTGTCAAGCAGCGTGATTAAACCCTGAACGCTCTGCTGTGTGAATTAAGTCACTCCTTGAGTCTGCAAAACGCAGCGCTCCCCTAAAATTATTAGGAGACCTTTGGCTTGTTTGAGGTTCCAAGGGCTCCACTCAGGTCAGAGACCCCCCGAGCAGGACCGGTGTGTGCACAAGCGAGACGAGGCGACCTCTGAGGCTCAGCGCTCGGGAAGCGCCGTGCCTGCCGAAGGGTTTCCTGCAGCGGAGCACAGCGCTGAGCTTGCCTCAACCTACCACTGCTCCGTTACAACCCGGGTGCTGGCAGTCCGTGCCCTGGCCACCGCATTGCTCCTCAGCTGGCCCAGAGCAAGAGCGACTTCAGCGCAGAGAGTAGCTATCCAAGGATTGGATCCCTTGGAATTTATGTCAGGAAATCAACCACGGTCCGCCGTAAAACTACACAGCAGCCAGAGGTGCTGTGTCACTCCCTTGCTGATGTGTTAGGTGCCGAATCGCTTCCCAGGAAAAGCTAAAGCCTCTCCAGCCAGGGCTGACGCGTTGGAGCACCCTCCTCCCACGGCCGTCACCAGCACCAGGCAGATTCCTCCACCTCTGCAGTCACACTTTCAAAATAATCGTAAATACGTCACCCGAAAAGAACGGATGCGCGTGCCGGGCTGCGGGCATCGGGGGCAGCTCAAGGGCAAGGCTGCGCACGTGGCCGCAGGAGCACCGTCACCCCCTCCAAAAAGGCCGATACACCAACCCGACCTCTCTCCTCCGACCTCCTAAGAGGGCTCTGAGGAACAATTCTAGCAGGTAACGACAAGCAGAACGGCGACTATTTTGAAAAGAAACCAGAGCAGCTATTTTAAGATGCTGCAGCTGAGAAAAGCGATTTGATTGCTATGGGTTCCAGGTGATGGGTGGTAAAGAGCCCAGCCTAAAAGCAACCCCCTCCCCGGCCAGATGCAGAGGAGATGGTCGCAGGGTCCAGGGGCCAAATGCATTTCGCTGCTGCTCTCAGCTACGTGGCTACAGGGGAAAGAGGAATAAAGACGTGCAGGAAACAGCTCTTGTGCTGGGACACATACACAGTGTGGCCAGAGCTACACCCAAGGTCTCCTTAAGGATGAGAGTGCCAGAAGAGGCTGTTATTTTGTTCCCAAATTCCAGTTTTCCTGGCTCATTCCGCAGCCGTGTGCAATTCGTTAATCCACACCAGCAGGTTTCCAGCCTCGGTATTTCCCCGGCAGAGCATAAAAGTTGCTCTCTGGGGGTTGGTATCACAAACCAGACCGGGAGAAGCACTTCTGCCTGACTCGCAGAGAACCGTCCAGCTGGGCCTCTCGGCGAGGAGAGAAAGGTGCTGCCTTTAAACCGGGCTGTTTTTAAACAAAAAGGGTTAGCTAGAGACGTCGCAGGCTGGAGGAAGACATCGGGGCTGTGCTCAGAAAGGTCTGGGCTGGTGCAGAGGGAGAAAAGCCACCCTCCTACTGCTGTAACCTGGAGGTCAACCCCAGCCTCAGACACCGAGACGGTTCCCAAATGAGTCAAGAGCAGGTAAACAGCCCTGGGCAGAGGCTGGCCCTGGTTTTACAGGAAGCTGTGCCTGTTATTGGGTGTTGTAAGGGTGTAAACGAGCGGAGTTTCATTCTGCGGTGCAGGAAAACTCTGAATTTTACAAGTCAAAGAAGAGTTGGGCTCTCAAAGCCTCTTCCAGCCAGTCGGGATATCCACAGATGCTCGCACGCTTGTCGTGGCGGAGAGGGCTTCGGCAAGCCCGCAGAAACACGGACAGAGAGCGGCTGAAGAATTAACACCACGTCTCTCTGCAGCAGGGGAGAGGTGCTGGGTGCTGCTGCCGGTGTCTCCGGGAAGGCAGGAGCTTCTCCAGGGAGACAGAGCAACGCCTGCCCTGCCCGGCCGAAGGAGACCGTGACTTCAGGCCTCAAGTATGCGGAGGAGCGCCGGACGGCAGCGGGGACATCAAAGGGACACGGGCTCAATTATGTGGGGCCCTGTAATGACCTGCTCCAAGTCCGAGCTCTTCAGAGGATGTGCCGAGCGGCATTTCAAAGACTCCCAGGAACGCACTTGAGATGGGAGGGCTTCTTCCTCTCCGGGATTACGCTTGCAAATGGAACGGCTTCCGTTCCTGGCCGGGGACTGAAGTGCCTGCAGAAGAACTTCGTTAGCTAATTGCACTGGTTTCAATGGCTCCCTTGGTCAGAGTGCAGACAGGACTCTCCCTGGCTGGGTTTCCAAGCTCCACACCCCGATAGCACCATCCAGCCCGATATCAGATTATCTCTCCTTGGGGATCAAAAATCAAGCGCGCAGAGGGTGTAGCACAATTAACTACTCCTAAACATAGAAGGCAACATCTCTTTACAGCTGACACTGTTTGTTCAGTCGGGATGAGTAGCTAAAAGCTGGTCTGAGCTATTTTTTTCCAGCTGATGGATTTTCCTGGCTTGCAGAGCAGATACATACTTTTCAAAAAACCAAACAAATAAAGATCTCCGGCTTCCACGGATGTTTGGAAGAGAAATACCAGCCTCTGACTGCCTCTGACACGAGCTCTGGATGCTATCTATTTGGGATCTGGCCTCATAAGCATTTTTTAAAGCCCATTTATTCAGCCCTCTAATGCAACCAGAGCAGCACACGCAGAGCTCGGAGGCCACAAAAGAAAAGCCTGGCAGTAAGGGTACACGTAACGTGCAATTCCAGACCAGACTTTTATCCCAAGACCAGCCACAGCCCTGAGCGACTCCAAAACCCAAATACCAAGCAGAGCTTGAAATGAAAACGAAGGAGGGGTGGGGGAAAAAAATAAAATCATGCAGCGCATGATCTGATGGGATTGTCTGGATGAAAGGATCGGTTCAGATCGGTATCGTTCGGGGAAATAGTGTAAAAGAGCAGAGCCAAGAGGTTGCACTGTCTTGGGGGGAGGGTTAAGACATGGAATGAGTTCTGGGGTTGTGTCAAGGGGATAGATTTTGGGGAATTTATTAGATTTCTGGAGATAGACAAGATGAGAGCTACTAGTAACAACAGGGGGCTGATGGTTACTGCTGGAGCTGATGGATTTCTCCAGCCAGCAATGACGCTGTTCTCCCCACAACTCCGGTGAGCTGATCGCCACCAGCGCCAGCCGATTCGATTTACACGGAATGCCAGGATAAACAAAACCAGGCCCACAGCCGCGTTCCCAATTTCTAAGCCGAGCAATTAAAAGCGAGCCGGCCCAGGGGATTTCAACGCGCAAAGGAAGCCAAGCTCCCAGGTTCCAAAGCTGCCCGCAATCTGTGCACCAAAGGCGTAGGAAACCGCCCGGGGGCTAACAGCCACTACCCTGCACCAGCTAAAAGAGGGACAAGGCAATGGCCCATGGCTCAAGCCATGCTGGAAACACGGCAGCTGCCTGCCAAAGCCAGCCTCTCCCTGCCAGCAAATTACATTTGTTCAACAAATCGTGTCCCATCACAAGGATGCGCTTAATTTGGTGGGTACATTATCAGCATCATCCCAAAGAAAGGCCAGAGGGAGATGCCAAACCTGCACAGTCCAGTTACAAAAGCACCATTTGCTGGTGAGAGGTGCTGGTGCTTCCCAAGTGGTTTGTGCCTCTGCAAAGCCAGAGCGTTTCGGTATCTACAGAACAAGTTTTATGGGATTTCACCCCGAGGAGGTTGTGTTGCTTAGGGAGAACCATAAAGAAGTGGTAAAAAGCCTTGTAAGAAGGGAAAAAATTGACCCAGCTCTCAGATGTCATAGCCGAAGTGAGGTTAAAAGGATGGTTGTGACTTGCTACACTCTGCCTCCGACTCACAAAATCCCAATCTCAGACCTTTTCTTGTGGGAGGAGCCAGCTCTCCCATTGCCGCTTCAGCCCATGAACATCTCTGTGCAGCAGCACATGAAACAGAGAGCTCGTGCTCTCCTCGATGGCTTGACGGAGGGTGAAACCTGCCACGCTGCCTCCGGCTGACTGGCAGCACCAGCCTGATGCTCTGGATTTATTATCCTGGCTCTGAGGCTGGTGGAGACTGAGAGACGCCAAAGCACGGTCCCAATCGGGAAACCACATGCACCCCGGCACCATCATCTACCCCAGCCTAAACTCCATCACACGAAGGTTCAGCCCAAACTTGCACGACAGCGTGAAATCCCAAAATCTTTCCCCTTGGATGGGAAGGGAAACCAGAGAAGGAAAATAATAAAACCCTCTGCTTCCCAGGCCAGCCAGGTTTTTCCGCAGCTGTCTGCAGATTTGCCTGAAAGCTCTTCCCTCGCCAGCAGTTTGCGACATGTCACAAACGGAAGATGAAGCAAGCCGGGGAGCAGCGGTCCAGAGGCCGGAATATGGCCTGACCGGCAGAGAATGAGCATCCTGGCAACCCCAGCATCAGCTTCAGATTTAGGAAATGCCAAAGGAAAGCTCCAGCGAGGACAGCGGACATCTCTGTGGCGCACCAGCTCTTTCCAGAAGCCAAATTCCAACATTTAGGACTCGCTGGTCAGCTGCCACGGATCCAGCATCTGACGTTCACCTGGTTTTATCCCAAAGACATTCAAAACGGGGCACTGGGATCACAAACATTTTCAAGTCCAGCTCTGACCAGCTCTGCCTAAATCTTAAAACTTTCAAGAGCCAGGAAAGTATCATTTTCCCTTACCAAAGCCACATGTGATTTAGTGTTCCCTCAAATTTGGCTTCAAAAAGAAAAATTCCTTGCTCGGAAGTAAACAGGAATTCAGCTTTGCAAGAGTTTACAGAAAAACTGAACGAGATCCGATCTGTCTCCTTGACAGGGAAGCAAAACCTTTGCAGGCACACGTATCTGCTGCCTGCAAAATACCTCTCGGGTAGCGAGGGAAAAAACCCACCTGCGCTCCATTGCAGAGGGGTTTTTTCAAGTTAGGAGGGGTACGTAGCCAACGCACAGCAGCTCCCCTGATGTCTACACACAGGACAAGTTTCCACCATGCTCTGAGTTGAATTCCCACCCTAGAACGACCCAGGCTTATGGTACAAGCCCAGCCAAACCCTCAGCGTCAAGCCAAAGCTCTGCTTTCTTGCAATCTTTACAAGGTGGAGGCAGAAATCCCCGCCGGGGAGGATAAGTCACCTCCGAGCTTTTGCAATGTCACAGTCTTTTTTTTTTTTTTTACCTGGGAAATTCTGACATGCCACGACTCCGATAAAGCTGTTGGGAAGGAGAAGCAGTGCCCTCTGAACCCTGTGCAACAGGATTACTGAGTCACTCTGTGCTAACGCTGGGCAAAAATGTCCTCACGCAGCAAGTTGAGCAAACAGGAGATAAAAGTGCCAGAATGCCCCAAGGGCTTTGCCCCCTTTCTCCCTTCACAGCTGCAAACATGGATCGCTGCGGTTCACCCAACCTCGGTGCTGCAGGAGAGGTTTTCATGGGGTCTATCCCGAGCGCTGCTCGCCCACAGCATCGCCCCAAGGTGCCGAGTACTCCCTACGGTGAGCTCACCCCGTATTCCCCTTCGCAATCGTGCCGCTGGCTTTTGGGAAATACAAACCTGGCCTTGCGGTAAGGGGGTGCCGCTGTTGCAAAAGCTGCCGTTCCCTCTAAGTGGGTGGAATCACACCACCAGCCAGCGATCCACCTCTCCGCTTTACTACGTGGGGTTTTTTCCCCTTCTCCCTGAAGTGATACTGTACCCAGCAGTCTTTGAAGTGATGTAACAGCCTGACATCCTACAGACAGCTCGGCTGCTAATGAGAGCTCAGCACTGGGAGAGAAAGGGTTGAGCGGCTCCTGCCACTCGTCCTCCCTGCAGGAGGCAAACGGAGAGATGGAAACTGCTGTATCAGACTACACCACGCCGTAATAGCCGGCTAATTGTAGGGAAGGGACGGAGGTATGTGTGGGTTAGTGGAGGAGCGTGCCCCGGCTATGCTGAGCTCCACACTTTTCGCTCCAGTCACGCTCCCGTTCCGTTGGCTGGAGCACGAGGGAGGCGGCGGAGGCCTCGCAGACGTCGGAGGAGCCCAACACAAAATTACTGGTGTTTCAGGAAACGGCTGCTGTGTAATTTGGTGAGGTTATAGCTACCACAGGGCTAAAAAAACCTCAGCCATCCTCTAAAGAGTGTCCTGCGGGCACGGTCAGAAAAGTCTGCTCCAGTAAGTGCAAAAAGCTCAGCGTTGGGTAGAGCGGGGCTAGGCTGGTCTCAAAATCTGCTGCGAAGAAAAAGCAGATTTCCCTGCTGAAAACCTGCTATTTACTTGCTGAAAGACCCAGGTGCATGAAGGGATATTCAGTCCGTCTCATCGCATCTTCCCCCCTTATTTCCATTTCCAACCCGCTGGTTCCTGCACTGCACTTTCTTCACACAAGGAGCGCACTTTTTTCTCCCTCATTCCGGTAAATCCGGCACTTAATGCCAAACTCACTGAATATTTCATGTCAGGAATAAATATTCACCTTTTGGACCGCAGGTAGGCACGATCTAGCGCTTCGTCCTTCCGCGTGCCTACCAGATTTAGGGAGATTTTACAGCAGGTGCTTTTGTGAAAGACGTAAAACGAGGCTACGCAGCGCAAGGGTTTACAGAGTCTCTGAAAGCACGGCGTGCTGGCTGGGGAATATGCTGCAAAGCGAGTATCGCGTGCTCCGACTCAAGTATTACACACGTAATCTCGGTACACGGGGTCCTTAGGGCAAAGGCACAACAGCAGCACGAGCTTAAGGCAGGAAAACCTCGCGGCGCGTGCCCGCTGGCTGGGGTGCCTTGAAGGAGCTCGTGCCGATAGGTGTCAGCACAGCCTGCCCGAAGCCTCCGAGCAGGACCTTTCCCAACGCTCCTCAAAGCTCCTTCCCAGCTGCCAAGACTTATCTAGCCCTGGGATTGTGAGGTTTTATTTCACTGACCCCAAAAAAGGAGCTGTCCCCAAAGGTGGACAGAGCTGCCCAGGAGGGAAGGCTTGGCAACACACCCATTTTGTAACCCCAAACACGATATAAAGCAACCGGGGAGCTCGTCCTCAGCCAAACCTCCGGCACACCTCGCTATCTCCCGCGCCTCCCGCCAAGGGCAGCGGCCGGGATGACGGCACCAGCCTCGGGCAGGAGCCGGTTCAGGCTATCAGCTTCCTCTCTGGAGCAAGGCATTAATTACACCTGAGACACCACCAGTGTAAACACCAGCGTGTGCGGCTGGGGCACCCGCTGGCGTATTTGAGAGCCTTCTTTCCCGAAAAGGAAATAAAATAGAAGGTTTCGCAGATGCTTTGGCTGCTCTCACAGCCCCCCGACAGCTTGCAAATACCTTGGCTGCAGTCAGCCAAACTCAGACAAGCAGATATCTGCAAGAAATTATATTCTCCAAAAGGGCTGCGAAATTGAACGTCAGGAAAAAGTCAGACCCTTGAAAGTTAAAAAACATCCACATAGGAAAAAAAAAAAAGCCCTTGCAAAATCAACCTTAACTTCTGCTTAGGGAAGTATCTGCTTTGAAGATTACGGGGCTGTACTTTGAGACCATTAAAAAGCAAATAGTTCTCCAAGCGCCGGCTTTCCGAGGCAGAGGAAGGAGATTCCTACTCGTTTGAACCGCAGCTGCTCCACGTTGCACCCAAATCTCCGGTGTACGAGACACTCAAGTTTCCAAACCGACTGGGAGGTACTGGATGCTCAGCACCATTGAGACAGGACGACTTATTTGTCTGTATAAGGACTCCCAACTCCAGGAACCTGTTTTTTGCAGATCAGACTTATTTACCAACAGGGCCGCAAATAGTCTTCCCCAGTTTTGGTACAGTGTGCTCCTCAGCAAAGTTTTCAGGTGGCCCGGGGGTCACGTTTAAAACGAGCACGCGCTACCCGCGCCGCTGAAAAACGGTGTGCAGCGGTCAGCCGCCCCGTCCCTGCCCGGGGGCTACCTTTGCGCGTTGCCAACGGGGACCCGGCTACAAATTCTCCGCATCCGACCGGGAGGCAGATAAAGGTGACAGTGGGAAAAATTCCTCCGTTAATTTCTAGAAGGATCTGAGCGCAGGGAGCCTCTCTCTGAGAATCTAAATCTGACAAGGTTAAAGCAACAAGGTTTTTTCATGCCGTTCTGCTCGATTCATGCCGATAGTGTCTTAAGAAGGGCTGCTCCGTGCAAAGTGACAGAAGAAAGCTTCCAGAAAGATGAAAGCCATACGGATGGGTTTAAACCCTGAATAAATCCCTCCCATCATCCAGGAGCCAAGAGTATGACCAAACCCATTCCTTATCAAGTCTCTCGCTATAAGAGATGTGTAGTCTTGCTGCTCTTACTGCATCAAGGTCACCAGCTCCCACTTGAGCCAGCACTCCTGAAAAACTCCCAGCTTCTCTTCCAAGTGGCTGGCTGTCTCCTCCTGAAGGAGAAAGACAGAAGAAGAAGAAGAAGCGGCGGGGGGGGGGGGGGGGAGAAAAAAAAAAAGCCACAGAGCACAACAAGGAAGGGAAAGAATAACCAGCTACCCTCTGCAGGGCTGTCTTGACTGCAGTCTACACAGAGCCCCAAGGCCCTCTGTGTCAGAGTGTCGTGGTTTAACTCCGG